AACTTTTTGATATCAATTTTTACTCGTGGAAGTTTTAATTCAAATATTAATTTCATAACATCACTTTTACTAGCTTGACGGTATAGAATTATTTTTTTCTGTGTTCATTAATACATTTTCATTTCAGCTATTAATCCTTTGAACAAGTTCTTGTTACAGAATTATAATCATTGAAGAGTAGAATTGGAAATAGTACACGGATTGCATCTTGATCGCTCTTAGGGAAACATTTCATAGAATTCTATTTATTCTCTGAGTTTATGTTTCAGGGAAACATCGTGGGATTAACCAAGACGCTAAGAAGAAGGTATCTTTTCATATTTTGTTGTTTTATATGAGTTATATTTATTGGATATGAATTTTTATTTTAGGGAAACATCGTGGGATTAACCAAGACACCAAGAAGAAAATATCTTGTCGTATCTTCGTTTTATATCGGTTATATTTATTGTTTATGAGTGTATGTTTTAGAAAAAACATCATGGGATTGATGAAGACATTAAGAAGAAAATATTTCTTCGTTTCCACAGATTGCGTTAGAATATAAGTACAAATGTATATAGATTGTAAGATAAAAAAGCGTTCTCCTGCCCTTTATTAAATATTACCGAAACGTGTGCGTAAATTTAAGTGGGGATGATTAATATTAAGGTACATATTAGTGTTCTAATATGCAAGGTCCATACGTGCAGTTGCACATTTCTGGTTGGATCTCCAGTGTCTTATTAGGCACTGTCATAATAAAAACATCCTTTTAAGAAGGAACAATTAATAATAAAGTACATATTGGTACTTTAATAATCAGGATTCGTACGTGCAGTTGCACATTCCAATTTCGTTTCTAGAAAACATGTGCTGGATTATCTCACATGTATCAACATTTTGTTAGGTTTTTGATCTCTTCATCAGAGTTCGTACGTGCATTTGCACATTTCAATTTCGTTTTTAGAAAACATGTGTATCATCTCACATGTATTGACATTCTGTTGGGTTCTTCATCTCTTAATTGGGCAGTTCTTTTAAGAACTCTCCTTTTTTAGTTCATTTCTAACTTTTCGATAGTTTCTCCCTTAGATATTCGAATTCCTCGCCAAAGGAAGGGTGGTTGGGGCGAGGCTAGGGCGGGTCTCCATTCGCAGCAACCTCCTCGTGGTGAGACCTGGGTAATATTATTTAGCGTTTAATTAATAATTATCACTCTTAGCTGGGTAATGGAATTATTAATTGAAAACTAAATAATATTAGCAAATTGGCTGCGATCCGCCTTGCATAGGTCATCATAAACATAGAGCTTCTTAGCTAGATTAGTTTTGATTCCCATCGATTCATCAAAGATTCTAGATTATTGTCAGAGAAGACGAGGTTTACGAGTAGATCTTTCACCTAATTTACTTTTGGCCCATTTTTATGAGGTCTCGAAACCCCCATTACCATTTTCGTGTTACTCGCAACGTTACCAACAGATTCAGAAATGAATTTTAATCTTTATCATAGTCAACTCACATGTATTTACGCAACACTGCAGCTGTTTGCCTATCAATACTAATTCAGTGAATAGTTTCTCAACTAAAGAGGAAGTTAAAATTACCACCGAATTTTCAGGTCGGTAAGGCAGTCAGATTGGGCCACGAAAGTCCATAAGGTGAAAGCACAAACGTGGTATACGAGTCTGCTTACACCTTATGGGGTTTCGTAGTCCAATCTGTCTGCTTTACCGACCTGAAAACTCAGAAGTGGTTTTATCCACATGGATGGCGGTCACTCGAGGAACTATTTACCGAATTACAGTTTCTTATGGTGTATCTCGTATGGTGTACGCGAGCGACAGTCAGCTGGTCGCGACTTACTCGTCAACTACGTATTCAGACCTCCTACGCCATTAGTCGACACCATATCGTTCGAGTTTCCACGGTCGATACGTGACCACGAGATGTACCTCGTTTGTAGTAATTATGTTTAAAATAATTAATTGACGATCAGTAAATTCAATTATAATTTCTGCCGTTTCGTTAGCACCGTGGTTTTATTTTTTCATCTAATATGAAAATGGTAATGGGGTTACATACCTCTCGAGTCACGCGATGCAAAAATGCATTTTACGTTCTGCAATACCGACCGCGTAAAAAATCAAACTTTTCGGTAAACAAATATTTAAATACCTCGTCTTTGGGCTTGTGATGCATTCTACATTTACAGAGATCAGTATAGAAGCATTCAAATAGCATACATTTGAACAATTACTTCTATTAGACATTTTCTATGTAACAAAGGCAATAACTAGGTCATTTTCTAAGGAAAAAAAATAACGCTTTAGTTTCTTCACAAAAATTTTATTTTTGCATATTTCTCGCGTTCCTTTTACAACTTTTGCTACGTTTTATACAATTTACAAAAAATTCTTCGTTTCTCATTTGTTTATTTTCTTCCGACAGATTCAGCGCGTTCCAACAAATTAAACTTTACACGCTTCAATGAAAATGTTAATGAACGAATAATTGCGACGGGAGAGCTAAATTAACAAGGATACTTTACGAGAATGACAGTGACGAGGTCGATAAACGATGGACGACGATAAGAATAATTTACTACATAAGTAGATAATAATAAGTAACAACTACAGTAATGATAATATCATTGATCGCTCGGAAGGAAACCTTTCGCATTTTCTTCTTTCACTAGCTCCGCCTCTTTGGCTTGTGAATGTTTACGACTGACCGTAAATAGTATAAATAAATAAATAAATCAGACAAATATATCTGTGATTACCAAATGAACGATGCTCGTCGCGGCGTGCTAGCCACGACGAACCTCGATTAATATAATTTCGCTTAAACAGAATACGAGTTCGTTTATCGTTCAACGTGAAATACGCTAAATTATTCCTTTCTTTCGATTAAAAATAATGACTTCGGTTGATTTAATCTCGCGAGGAACCTGCCCTGGCTCGAGTAGACGAAAGGAAAGAGTGGTCCAGTCTGTGAAATCAATTAACAAACTCAAGGAAATAGTTTCGTGCGCTAAACAGTCGCCGATTGATTCAGAAACAATTCTTCGTTTTTTCATCGACGATAGTTCCTCGACTAGACTACCAAAACGCGTCGTGAAAATTCGATCTTTCTTCACGCGATAAGACAGGAGGTCTTGGAGCATTTCCAGCATTTCGAAAACATATTTCGGGGAGTCATTCGCCTCCCGAATGAATTTGCTTTCGCGAAACTGGTTGGAATTCGTTGCACGACAAAGCCAAATTGCACGGTGAAAATTTACTTTCGATAATTATTTACAAAGTATGGAAAAATCGGATCGATTGTCTTCGTATATTTTCTTCTTTTTTGCGACACGTTCGAGTATGGCATCGTGGCTGAACGCATGAATTTTCTCACGCGTACCGAAATAAAGTTCAAGCTCGGTTGCATGTTTCCTCCTATCGGTCATCGATTTCCTGTCGTGGTAAAATCGAGATTTTTTCGCGATCTATGGATCGTTTAAATAACCATTATGTGTGTACGTTTGGCCACAGCGATTCTTATCTCAGTAAAGTCACTAATTCCAACATGGATTAAAAAGTTTCTTCGGATTCGTTTCGACAATTTTGTCGACTTCACTTGCACAGCATTTGCCAAAGTTTCGTTTAGAATAGGATTAGAAATAGACAAAACTTCCCGGGAGTTTGGAACCGATTGTTCGCCGAAACGTACGATTAATTTAAAAGTTAAATTTGAAGTTCGTATTCTCATTTTCTCGTTAATTGAGCACGGTACCTCTAATTGCTTCGTTTTTCTCTTCCAATTACGAACGTTGGAGAAATTATAAAGAACACGGTCAAGTGGATCACAATAATTTATATATAGGTTCAAAACAGGCCCGAGATATAATAGAATTTCGCTTTTCTTTATAACTTTATACAACATTTTTTTTTGTCTGCACTCGTAGAATTTACTGACCAAATTTTCCAAATTATGGACAGAATAGGGGAAACAAGCTCCGAAATTTGACGTTATTCGATGATTTTTAATCTTCAGACGATTTTAGAGTATTACTATCGGCCAATCTCGTAACGCGATCGCAAAATCGAAGGAAACGTGTAAACTCGGTCATCGACGACCGATAGCTGATCCTTCGTAGCATGAAAATCGTCGTTTCATCGATCGAAGTGAAAAAGAAAGTTGCAGATACTCTCTGCAATCGTGAAACAATCGTTCGAAACAAAATATAGCAGAGATTTTACGACGATAGACCGAATCACCCTGTTTGGTTTTCGAGAGGCCATTCGAGCCACCTCTCGTCCCTTAAAACAAAAAAAAATGTGTTCTTCAGCAATATCTTAATGTTTCAGCCACTCCCTGCCACTACTAATTGACTAGCATCATTAATCACTCTCGGTTTTGAACTCGATCGTTCTTTCGCCCTCGACTCTTTGGTACAAATTCTCTTTTCTTTCCTTCTTCCTAAATCTTCCTTCGTGTTCCTCGTTTCCCCCCGGAAGTCGAAAAGACAATTAGCTTTCGCGAACCGCGGCAAACAGGAAGAGGATCAAGGTGATTCGCGTTCTAAAAACGCTACAAAAAGCAATCCACCGTCGGTCATCGAGTCGATCGATCGAAGACCACCGCGGATCTGTAGTCGGAACAAACGAGACAGTAGATCGGAAATCGTGATTCTTCCCCCCCCGGTACGCAAAACGAAAAAGAAAGGAAAGAAAAAGACGGAAGTGCCGAGCAGAGTAGGCTCGAGGAGATCGAGGACACGACGAAATTGCCGCCGGCACGCTCGCCGGACGGAAACTATCAATAAATAGAGTAAGCTTTAACATCGCGTCGCTAGGAACAGGCGCGACAAAGAATAGCAGTCGCAAATAAGTTAATAACACGCGGGAAAAATAGCGCGCGCGCTCCCACGTCCCATCGATGCAGGCCAACCGCCGAAAACCACCTGCAATCACTCTAGAAACGATTACAAACAGGGCTTTCGGATCTGGATGCTCCGTGGAAATCGTCGAAAACCACGAGTTTTTCACCCGTTACAATACTTGTCACAGTTATCAGGAACAGATAGGTATTTGGTAGATTGATTTTAGTAACAATAGCAACTGAACTGTTAATTTTCAATTATCAAGTTTCGTTTCTTGGACAATTCAAGGGGTAGTCAATGTGTTAATCTGCTACTTTGAATCGAGATAATCAGAAAAATAGCTGTGACTTCGAGTCGAAGTGAATTTCGCCAACAAAAGAATACTAAAATTCTAAGTACCCACAGCAACTAAAACTAAAAATTGAGGATTCATATGTACCAAAGCTAGCACGATCATTTTTTCATTTTCATTCGACTCGAAGGTTCGTTTGTTGCGCAAGTCCACGAAGCATCGATTTCAAAATATGTTCGTTCTTTGTTCGCAAAGGGACGACGCGATTTTCGCGGTCATCGGACTAGATATGGGATATCGGTCCTTATTAATTTACGCCCTCGATTGTATTCCGTTGTCCCCTCTTGATTGTCACACTCATTCACACGCACGCATACACACACAGGCGCGCGCGCCTCCGTCGTTTCAACTATGTACAAGTATTATTTACAGTTCAGTGGTATACAGATTAGGCGCGAACCAACCGCTCGCGCGATCGGAATAACACCATCGGTGAATATTTCGCGACGAACGCTGCGTTCCGCTTCGTTCGTAACTTTTTGGCTGGACTCGTTTGATCGTGCACCATCGAGGAACGTTCGAATAAGTGGACTTTCCTCGTTTCCCAACGGTCAGCCTGACACACGCGTTTACGGTATCGGAGGAACACATTCGTGGAAACTGGATTAACGAATGGCGAGCTTCGTTTTCGCCCCTTCTAGGAACCAATTTCGAGTCTTTCCAACCCTTGGCGATCCTCGTCGAAAGACGTTGTTCCGTACGGTTTCTTTGGTTTCTACGAAATTCGTTGGAGCTACCGGGTCGCCCCGGAACCATAAAGATCATTTTTACCAGGCTTTTTCCGGCGCTTCGACCGCTAGCGTTTCGTTGCATTTCGCTGCGACTCTCGCGCAAACACGGGACCCCGAAAACGGACTCCCAGAGGTATCTGAAATCTTTGGCTTTTCACCGGGAAAGTAGAAAATGCTAGCACTCGAAGGAAAGAGACCAATTTTTAGGTTGTACACGCGCGGCCCAAATACCTTTTCTCAAGCCTTCTCTTCGGAGTTTCTCGCTTCTCGTTCGTTGCTTCCTGCTATCGAGATTTTAACTATCACCTCCTCGTTCAGTTATGGTCACTGATCGTTCACCTTTTCGAGAAATTCTTTGAAAATCGATGCTTCCCAATCTCTACCTTTTCTACGTTCCTTCTGTTCTTCCTTTTTCTTAACACTTTCGATCGATACATTTCCTATCGCTATCGTTTCCTCTCTTTTAGAAATATTTAAGAGACGTTCGCAAAGTTGTCCAGGATTTCCTTTCGCACGGATATAATTTCTATAAACTTTTCCTTGCCAAACTCGATCCTTTCGTCTCGTTCGCCGATCTTTGCTAACCGAAACTATTTGCATCATCGTTGCGGTATCCATCTCGCGTTCTCCGTACATGTCCAGTCTCTTTCGTTTCACTTTTTCATGGAACGTATCGAAAGACGCACCCATTAACAATCGTTTAATCGGGATTTCTCAAGATCACATTCCCCGTCTTCTTGCCACTCTATCACCAGCCGTTCTTCCCTTCTGTTTCATCGTGGTTCAGCGTTGTTCAGCTTCGCGTTACGTGTTCCGGGGTTGCCCGTACGCGAAGCTGACCTCACGTCATGGATAATCCGGATGCATGAGATTGTACATAACCGCGAAGATCGTGCAAGCCGCGTACACGCCCAACGCCACCCACCACAGCAGCTGTTCGTGAAGCCGTTGCTCGAAATTCTTCAGCACCAGAAGGCCGATCGTCAAGCCCGCCAACGCGCCGGTTAGATGCGCCACGTACGAAACAGGTGGTCCCATTTGTTCAGCCGCGTACCTATCGTAGATGGCAAATCCTACGTCGGCGCTCGCTGGAAATTAAACGATACATCTGTTAGATAAAGTTCTTTATATTTCTTTGGAATATTCAAGTCGTCGAGGTTAGCTTGTTCGTTTGCAACGGAGAATAACAGAAAAATACGTTTGAAATGATCTAAGATCGGAACTTCACAAGTTAGATGATATTATTCATTAATGGGGTACTTAATAATTAAATTTCGTAGCTTCACCACTGGTTATCAAAATGTAAACGGTCTAAGAACCAAGCTTCCCTGATCTCCGTAGTGCTGTTTCTTGTTTAACTCCTATCTATGATATTACTGTTCTTGTGGATACGTGGTTTCGTTCCGGAATATCAAACGAGGAGCTGGGTTTGGTTGGTTAGATCGTGTACTGGTGGGTCAATATTAATATTAATTGTACCTTTTTCATATCTACATCGTCGTCTATCTTTTTGTTTTTTGTGTCGTTTTCACGCGATTTATTTTGTCTCTTACGTAACAGACTGGGTCAGATGGATGTTTTTCTGAATCTTACCGATTACGAAGATGCCTATTAGCCGCACTATGCCAAACTCCATGTTGTTGTAGTTGAGGAGGACGTTGGCTAGATGAGCCGCGAGCAAAGCGTAAACACCCCCGCTGGCCCCCACGAGATACACGTCTGTGTCGAACACCGATGTACCCAGAGAACCTACGAACATAACAAAAAAAAAAAACATTGTATTTATTCCAATCGTGAGAAAATAACGTCGTCAGTTTATACGTTTGGCAATCTTTTGAGATTTCATGAAACATTCACGCAAAAAAGTAGATCCAAATGTTAAGAACTCTGTGTTGCGTAAAATGTAGTCTGATTGACGATCGACGATTCCGATTACCGTAAAATCAAGTTAGTGATTAATGACTATGAACACAGAATAATCAATAATTACGATTAATGAATAATACGAATCATCAAACCGAATGTGATCATTAGACATAATTTACTCGCGAATCATTAATCACGAAATGATTACACTTTTTATTATTATTAAATTCATAAGTCATTACTATAATGAATCTAGAACAAAATATCTATCGTTTAATATCAAATCAGACTCTCACAATATTTAAATGTATCACGTATCATTTTTTTTTCATCGATGGGCTTAGTAATAGTTGCAATAGGTTTCGTACAATCTTCGATTTCTAATTAGTTTATTTATTAATACGTAACTAACGTATACTCTTCTCTTTCGTTCGGTCACCCCTGGGAAAAATTTTAATGGGAGATTCTAGAGGCCAAAATAAGATGAAAATCAAGAATATCAATTTGTTGACTGAGGCTTCGTTAAATAGTTATTAAAAAATTAAATTAAAAAATTTCAAATCATTCGCGAAAAAATTATTTTCGGTCGCAGGGGTCAATTGCAATCATTTTTCGTGAACAGACCTACCCTCAAAATCCTACCCACTTTCGAGAAAAAAATTCAAGAAGGTGTGAAAGTTTTCGATAAAATTAAAAAATTTTAAATCGTTTTGGAAAAATTATTTTTGGTTGCGGGGGTTATTTACAATCATTTTTGGTGAATAGACACACCCTCGAAATCCTAACCATTTCCGCGAAAAAAATTCGACAAGGTGTGAAAGTTTTCGACAAAATTAAAAAATTTCAAATCGTTCTGGAAAAATTATTTTCAGTTGCAGGGGTTAATTACAATTATTTTTGGTGAATAGACACACCCTCGAAATCCTAACCATTTCCGAGAAAAAAATTCGACAAGGTGTGAAAGTTTTCGACAAAATTAAAAAATTTCAAATCCTTCTGGAAAAATTATTTTCAGTTGCAGGGGTTAATTACAATTATTTTTGGTGAATAGACACACCCCCGAAATTCTAACCATTTCCGAGAAAAAAATTCAGTAAGTGGACAAATTTTTAGACAAAATTAAAAAATTTCAAATCCTTCTGGAAAAATTATATTTAGTTACAGGGATCAATTACAATCATTTTTGGTGAATAGACACACCCCCGAAATCCTAACCATTTCCGAGAAAAAAATTCAATAAGTGGACAAATTACTAATTATATTACTTTTATTCACTCTACTCGACTTATTTTTTCACGGGGAATCACCCTCTGTCCGTCTGTTTCACAAATAAGGGAACAGCATGTGTATCGTATCATATTTGATCAAAACGCGAAGCGTTAATTTTCTTCTCGACGAAAAAAACGATAAACGTTGAGAGAAACGTACAAGATACATTGCCAAGTATGGCGTAGACAGGAGAGAGCCATGGAAAACGATTAGAAGATAAAAGGAACAAGTTGAACGCAGAGGAAAAGGTGTCAGGAGACAGATGCCGTTGCACTTGCGTAGTTACAATCGCATTACATCGTCGCGACCGCGATGCATACGAAGTAATCCTGTCACGATGGCCTCAGACAAGCTGTCGCTACCACGCGTTCTCGCGGGATGGGGCAGAAAAGCGAGTGCTTAGGTAAGACGAGAGACACTCAGGGAAAAATGGAGAAAAAAGAGAGAAAGAAAGAACAGAGCCCAAGGAAGAAGCGTTTCACTCTCATTACCAGGCTCAAATCAATATTTCAAAGCTCTTTCCCCTGTCCTTCGATCATTTAATAACACTCCTCTCTAAGGACTTTTTTTACTGGCAAAATAAGCCTGCGAAGAAACAGATGAAAAGCCAATAAGGACATAAGTACCCAGGATTTTCTTCGTCGAGATTCTCAATACAATTCTTCGAGCTACAGTAATGATTCTTAAAATTAACACGTCGTAGAATCGAGTAAATACGTATCAAAGCCGTATTGTATTAAAATGTTTAAGCACGACGGGGAATAACGTGCTCTTGTGGAACGTAAACATCGCGGTAGCGGCTTAATAAGAAATACGAAGGTAGATTGGGAAGATGAAACTGTTTTGCATTTCTGTTTACGCGATGAACTTGGTGCTCTGCTTTATAAACATTGCTTTTGCACGTTTACCGCTGCTTCGAAAACCCGCAATCTCGTCGTTAATATTTAGCATGCATTCGTAAGTACAATACGGTTCTGTTGTGCAATGATAGGCACACCGGGGCTCGACGTGCGTCCTTTTACTCACAAACCATAACAACAGAAGTAGCACGCTTGGACGTAAATGGAAATTCAATGTTTTTGTTTCGAGGTCGAAATCGTACAGAAAATTTTTGTAAGTTAATGAATCATACATTGTTCCACACCCCACAGTTTATTAATTATTGTTGTATCAACTATTAATCGATAAATTCGTTAGAGGTTCTAAACTCTGTTTTCCTATCGTCGAAATTATTTTCCTCGTGTCTAATTTTTGAAAAAAGGGGTGAAACGCGATTCAAGACAGTTTTTAAGTTTTTTAAGAGTATACTAATGTAAGAATTATGCCAGTGACCTGATTTCGTGTCAATTCAAAGAAATATAACTCGGCACGCGGCTCGATCTCGTAAACTAGGGCACTTGTTGCAGGTTCCAAGGGATTACGGGTATTATAGTAGCTAAAAATGTAGTAAGACCAGCTTCTTTGGAACATAAATTACGTTCCCACGACGCTTATAGTTACTTATACGGTAAAATGAATCGTTATTGTTTGAAATAGAAGGCAGAAAATAATGTATCATGTATTCTTTTTTTTTTTTTGTGAAAAATCTATATGGTGTAGGTTTAGTGTTAAATATTTGCTGTTCGTGCACTGTACATTTTGCAACGTTTTACTTTCATGGCTGCTAATAACCCGGGATCCGCGTGTAATTGAATTTATGCAAATAGCAATTATGTTTATACGAATGTGTGAGAGCCGACTCGGTACATAGTAATACATACGTGGAACACCGAGCGTGCACGCGCGTTTATATAGATATACGCGATACGCTCGGAATCTCGGAAGCGTTGTATCTAAGTACCTCTATCTACATTCTCGGTGAACGCGATAGGTCGAAACTAGCGGAAGTAGAACGATCAAGGGCGAAAGGGAAGTACGACAAGGCCGGGGAAACTGGAAAAGATACTAACGAGGGTTTAGGTGGAAAGTGTAAAAACACGTTCCATGCTGGTAATATCCAGAAACATGCTCAATGGAAATGCGGACAAATTGTGTTACAAAGAAATAGAATCGTGGTTTAGTAGCTGCATCTGTGGAATCGTCGAGTGATTTAAATTTACGAATATCGTCGTGTGCATTCGCGCATTACTGTATTACATGCCGGCGCATAATCACGCATGGAGCTATCGACGAGCCCCCGTTGCAAATATCCCCGTTAAATGCACTTTGACAGAGCTTTCGCTAAATCGGTGTACACAACGCTTTTCTCGATTCTTTATTTTATCCTACACGGTATTCCATTTATCTCGATCGCCTTCGTATAACTATATTTCTTATTCATTCGTTCGAGTGACATTTGTATTTGATACAAAATTATGGCCCATCAACTATTTGTTTATTTAACGAGGAATGACTCGTTTAAAAATGTGAGCATATCTTCAGTTCGTAAAAAATGTTAAATACATGTGCAAACGAAAATTACTCGATTAAATCTATCGACGGAATTTCATCATGGGGATGTTTGAAAATATTTTTATCTTTGGGAGAGGTGTGTCAACAACTCGACCGAATTATTTTTTTATCAAAATGGAATACAATAGCTTCATACGAACCTCTTCTCGAGACTGCAAGTTTTTCCCCGGATATTCTATCTCTCTTATTCTCAGTGTTCTATCCTATTTACTCTCCTCTTCAACCGTACAGAGAGTCTTGCTCAAACTTCTCCACATAAAATTTGGCCGATCTTGATTTTATCGCAAGAAACGAGACTATGCAGAGAGCACTTTATATCGTTCTTACGGAACAATGTTGTTACACGGTCAAGCAGAAGCAATAAAAATGATTTACATTTATGGAGAAGCTGGAAGAGACTGTTCTAGAATTCCGATTCTACAGGGTGTTCTGCCACCCTTGGGAAAAATTTTAATGGGGTATTCTAGAGGCCAAAATAAGAGGAAAATTAAGAATATCAATTTGTTGATGGAGGCTTCGTTAAAAAGTTATTAACGTTTAAAGTTCCAGTCGTACTGAATTTTTTTCTCGAAAATGCGCAGGATTTCGGGGGTATGTCTATTCACCAAAAATTATTGTAATTGACCCCCGCAATCGAAAATAATTTTTCCAAGACGATCGAAACTTTTCAATTTCGCCCAAAAATTCCATACCTTCTGGAATTTTTTTCTCGAAAGTCAGTAGGATTTCGAGGATATGTATAATGACCAAAATTGATTATAATTGACCTCCGCAACCGAAAATAATTTTTCCAGAACGATTTGAAACTTTTCAATTTCGCCCAAAAATTCCATACCTTCTGGAATTTTTTTCTCGATAGTGGATAGGATTTCGGGAGTATGTCTATTCACCAAAAATGATTGTAATCGACCCCCGCAACTAAAAATATTTTTTCCAAAACGATTTGAGACTTTTTATTTTCCCGAAAAATTTCTCCAACTATTGAATTTTTTTCTCGAAAATGCGCAGGATTTCGGGGATATGTCTACTCACCAAAAATGATTGTAATTGACCCCCGTAACCGAAAATAATTTTTCTAGAACGATTTGAAATTTTCGATTTTAATTGTTAATAACTTTTTAACGAAGCCTTAGTCAAGAAATTGATATTCTTGATTTTCGTCTTATTTCGGCCTCTAGAACCTTCCATTAAAATTTTTCCCAGGGGTGGTCGAACACCCTGTATATTGGCGAGATATACCGAGAGGAATCATTTTTCTTGGACAAAGTGCTTTTCATGGTGTAGTTTTTAACGGAGAATTAGCTTTTCACGAGGTACGGCCAATTAAACGCACTATTGATCCACTGGAAATCCTGAAGTGGTTCATGGAATCGTAAAATGGTAGTCCTATTGACTATATTATTTACTTCTTTATGAGACGAACGTTTAGTACATATGTGTACTAAACAGACCTGACGTACATACGTGTTATACTCGCGTTTGTGTTCTTAAATAATAATTTTACTATGGAATTATCACTTTTTCGTTGTAATTTTCGAAACTTAGAGAAGGTATACACAAGTTTTACGATTCGTAGTCCTAAAACGACATGTCACCTCCAAACTTACGTATGAAATTCGCGTAATACTCGAAAATTATCAAGATATATTCGTTACTTACCAGCAAGGACTCCAGCCATATAGACCGCCGCGATTCTCAGACTTCCATGAACCATTTCCAAGGGAAGTCCCACGACCACCTGCACTCCTAGGTTAAATAGCAGATGAAGCCACCTGAAATGTAAGCACAGACGTTTCTGAGACGGTCCTCCCTTTTGTTTAAACGTATAAATTGCATGATAGAATCGTAACGAGTCCATGGAAAAAATGGAACAAAAAGATTCGTGCAGATTCAGGATTCACGCGTTTCTTCTCGGGATTTTATAGCTTACATTTTTCCATCTGTTCGGGAACATTTAAAAGTCGCGTAATTCGAACAAGCTTTTGTTCTATTTTTAATTTAGATCATAGGGAGAGCATTGGTATACTTATTACGAATTAATATATATTCGAAGTAGATGTTGGAGTGGTTTTATTACTCGATTTAGCGAATTATGTTAACCGAAATCGGATTCGTAAAACATTGTGCAAAATTCCATTGAAAGCTTTTGATGCAGTGTACTTTTTCAATCTTTTTATTAAAGACAATAGCGGAGAAAAGTTCTTTCAACGTTCACTTCTGCCTTCGATAATGAAACTTTTAAATTGTCGCATTTAAAAGTACAAATACAGATTCAGACTGAATAAAACACAAAGAAGATACGCGGAGGCAGCCACTCTTTGCATTCGGTCATCGAATATATTACGTTTGCAAAAGAAACGGTGCAAAGAACGAGCGCAATTTTTATCGGAATAACTTTGCTTCAAGCTTCCGTCGTTTGATCTGTAAAACGGAGAAAAACGCTGGGGGAATTAAGGTAATTTATTGGCGATTTTAATTCGTAATTTAACCCTTTCGTTCCAGCGATTATTCTCGACCGCTTGTAGAACAATACGAGTGTTGAAGATGCATTATTTTGTTCTGTTTTAGTCCGACTTTATTGTTACTTTTGACTGATAACACTTAATTGACAATTTTTAGAATCGACGTACGAGTTTCAAATTTAAAAAAAAGTGATAGGACATAATTTCCAAAGTCATCAAATAGCTTGGAAAATTAATATGTAACTATCCCTGGTATAGGATTATTCATTTCTAATGTCCACTGTTACTTTTTATCGATAACATTTAATTGACAATTTTTAAAATCGACGTACGATTTTTAAATTTTTTAAAAAGTGATAGGACATAATTTCCAAAGTCATCAAATAGCTTGGAAAATTAATATGTAGCTATCCCTAGTATAGGATTATTGATATCTAATGGCAAAATAGTTAAAGTACTGATAGAAAAAACTTGGGTCAAAGGGGTTAAAACGACGCGAAGTAACAAGCCTAACGATGTCCAAAACGATGTCCAAAATTATTAAATGCGAATTAATAACGAACTCTCGAATCGATCGGAAGTTAGAGAACAGATAAAAGTTAAAAGAAACCAATCGAAAGAACGATACGATGGGAGATGCTTGAAAATTCGGTTCAACGATCAGCCACTATCGTAGCAACGGCCCTAAACCCGTGAAATCGCGGCAATTATGAATTTTATCTTCTTACTCGGGCGAAACTTCTCTACCGGAAACGAGGATGGTCAAGCTTATCTCAACGACGTAGAAACGCCTTGAGTCGTAAGAGCGGTTTTACGCGCCCAGCGGTTTCTTTAGTTTCTCAAAACCAATCTCCAGCCCCGTCCATAATGAAAACATTCCTTTTACGACGCTCGAAGTTTTCGATCGCGACGGAAATACAAATTCGATATGACAGTCGAAGAAATTTACTGCGTTTCATCTAGAGATATCGCGAATTGAATGCCTTTCTCCGATACGCGATATGGATTCGAGATTAGGCGAGAAAAAGAAACAATATTCGCATATTTACGCAGGAATAATTTTATCCAGTTTTGGCATTAGTTTTCGCGAATAAAAATCATTTCTCTTTGGCAAGCTTTTGTAAATCGGGTGTTCGATTAATAACGTAACGATGATCAAAGTATCGACGCTAGAATCGGAGTAATTTTCGTCGAAAACTTGCAAGAAAGTTCGCGGATCATACCGGGAAGAAAAAACTGCCCCGAAGAAGGAATTCCAGAACGGAGTTCGACTGCCTGACATGCAAGCTGAGTCGCTCAACTAAGACGTGAGCCTATTAAGCCCACAATTTGCATCCTCGACGAGTCTGAGCACCGTCGCGTCTAATTACAATGCGGTCGACGCACCGAAGAATCCGATCGGCCGTCGAGAAGGCACCGAGACGCCCGAAGAAGTTCACGGGCGTCGTGTTTGTCGATCGCGTCGACTATTCGGCCTGAAACAAACACCACGAACCGAGCAAAAGAGCACTTTAACAGTTCTAATGTTAACGAAAGATTTGTTACTCTTCTGGAATCGTAGAAGCCATATTGGAGCACAGTTTTTAGAAGATCGAGCAAAGAGTTATCCCACAATTTTGAATACTCGTAGATGAAAAAAGAGTTTACCTACACTTAAGAAAAGAAATTACAAAAGAGGCTGAAGAAATGACAGTCTAGAGAAGAATGCCTCATCAAGCACTCCAAGGCTAGAACAATTGATTTGACGTGATTCTTTGTGGTGCTTCTGTACGTGTTAGGACGCCCAATACCATAAGCTAGCTATTTTACGGTTGTTTAACCTAGTGCTAGTTAGAGTTGGGTCTCGAACAGAATTTATATTAGACAGGAAAGGAAACACGATTATTGTAGTATTGCAGAAAATATTGCAGATTTTACGTATATGTGTATACGTTGCTAGAATGAAAGAAAGAACAGGGATGGTATTGGAGTGGAATGCAATTCGGAACAGTGGCATATGATCATAAATCATCGTGCTCGAAAGTATGTTTTGTCACTTAGTAAATTAAGGTTTCGAAGTGTACACTATGAGAAATTAAATTTCGTCCCATCGTTCAGAGTGGTGAAACGTTTTGCCATACATTTATAAGCAACAGAGGACCAAAAACGCGCGATTCCAGCCTGGAACAATTTCGCAAATGCAAAGGCGGAAGGATGTATAGGCATCGATTCGTTCGAAGTACGCAATCTCCGAAATGGAGCGTGCAAAAAAGAGCTCCGGAGGCTCTTACCTCTCGAAGACAGCCGGAAGCGAGAGAGGACGGCAAAACGATAATACAAGGGAACGGAATATCCTCTTTGCAAGGGCAACGAAAGATCCTGCTATCTATCATTCGAACTCGTGGATAGAAATTTCGATTCGGTTTGGATCATCCTTCGCGGAAACTGAGAACCAAGAATCCGGTGTAATTTGCCCGCGTAGACAATGCTGGAGGATTCGTCTAATTGCTATCCAATTAACCGAAACTGCCGCCCCTTCTTCGAGCTGTCCTCTGTCTTCTCTGCCCCCCCCAGGGGGGTCTTTGCGTCGTGACTCGAATATTCGTTGTCGGGACGCGGTGCTAAGTTCGAAAATTGATCGTACGTTTGCGGGGAGAAGCAAGCTCCAGGAATTCAGACTTTCGAGCAACGAAATCGGGAATCACCGGTTCATTTCGAATTTATAGAAATACAGTATATTTATTATTAGGCATACACGGTCGTTCAAAGCGTTGAAATTATTAAAATTTATTACCAAAATTCTTGTGGGAATCGAACAACGTTTCGCGTACTTCGTTTGAAAAATTCACTATTTAGGTTCGTGGTAGAAAAGATTAAAAATTTGTTGGAAAGGATATTACGAAGGTAGTAGATTAAAAATAATCAAAGGAAATGTAAAGTAACGTTTTTTTATATTTTTCATTATATCTTTGTGGGAATATTATCAATGGACGCGGGGTGGTTTCATCGACGAAACCCAGACCAAATATAACTTCAAACGTGTTATTTTTAATTATATATTATTTGAATCGCCTCAGGAAAATTGTTAACTATGCGTAATTAAAATTAGATCGAACGGTGTACAGTTCGAATCCACTTTCATCGGGAAACCCTCGTGAATCCAATGGTAATACTGAAATTAATACGTAATGAAAGAATTAAAATATTTCAGTTTCAACAGCGAAACCTTCATTTAAATCATAAAAACATTTTTTATTAATACGTAAACTTATGTTGGATAGAACATCATTAGATAAAAATCCACAGTCTAAGCATCGTGAATTATCCTCTATTTCGTAAAGTGAAACTCTTGTGCTGCTTCTGTTTCTAGCTTTTTGATCCTACACTTAATTTTAATTTAATATTTCAAAATATTATATATTCAAATACTCCCATCCTTACTATCGAGCATCATACTATGAGCGTATCTTGAAAATGGTGGGTTAGGCGATCCAGGGAACGAATTAACAGAGATTATCGATTTGAATGGAAACTCGAGAACGGTAGGATAAAGGCGGAAGGTGTAGTTTCAACGAGCTGACTTTAATGTTCCGCAAACGCGAGTAAGGTCGTCAGCCGATCTAACTACTTTCTAGTAGTTAATTACACCCCCGAAAACTTCTTACTTATCGTCGCACTGTGAACGAGTTTGTCGAGCCTGATGTCTCAGCGTTTCGTGATTCCAATAACGAGCCGACGCGGCGCAAGCCTTTTCGACGCCTCGTTTTCCGTTACCGTGAACTTTATGCGCGACAAACGGTTTTGATTCCACTGTACATGGCCGAGTCAGCTAATTCGGACGACTTGCAACTCACTTTCGCGTCGAAAATAGAGGAGAAAAGTATCAGATACAGAAGTTAAACGTTCGCTACTATGCACGAACTCTATCTACTCTCACGATCCCACTTCCTTATTAAACACAATGGTACTGTGGCGATGCTTCATGCATTCGCCGGCAGAGGGCTACGCTTTCTCACAAGTGCTCGATCGACATCTAAAACAGGGACTGCTAGTATTGCTTTACTGATGAGTAATATTTGTAAATTTGTTGAATAACGTCACTGACATTAGGAATACTAAAAGGATACTTCATTTAATTCTTGAATATTTCCATTTGTTAGGTTATAATTTGAAAAAATGTGTATCAACTGTTAAAATAAATCCAAGAGAAGACGTGGTCCTCTAATTCTTTGCACGAACTTAATCAGTGGAATGTTTATAGCGTTAAAAGTGACGAATTTAAGGAAACTACGATTTCGAATCCTAGTATAAAGTCTCCCCGTAAGTTTCGCGAAAATCTTCCACGGTAAAAAAGAAGCAAACGTTTGCACGTGGCGCGTCCCGACGCAAGGTATAACGACAGGGTCCCCCCCTGGAGGGTATTAAGGAAGAGGCCTTCTTTTCTGCATTTATACGACATTAGACGAGTCTCGCATAATGGTTTCGCTCGTCGAGCATGCATAAAATGTCCGCGTGACGAAGGACCCGGGTGCGCCCGATTCGTCGGACGAGGAAGATGGACGTCGTTATTTAAATCGGGGTCTCCCGTTCCCGATTCATCGCCGCGATTTCGATTTTCCTCGCCGAGAAAGTTCCTCTTCCCCTCGCTTGGAAATCAATTGTTCCGAAGAAATTTGTTTAGAACTCGAGGGCGACGGCTGCTTCGTTTTCCGACCGGCGATTGCATTTTTATAAGCGCACCGCGGGAAACCAAGTCGCAGAGTTTCCGAGTAATCGCGGGTGTTATTACGGGGAATTAATTCCGCGAAGTTTTTCTCGAATCGTTCCGTTCGCGTATTCCAGGATCGGTGTATCTTTTCGACGATACCTGCCCTCGTATTTTCGTGAACTCTGCGATACCATTGTCTAATCCAACGGTGCGCCGCGTTCACTTCCTGCAATTACCCCCGATTGTCTCGATTTTTCTCGACATCTACGTTTCTCACGGCGTTCCTGTGAACTCTCCGCTTCCCGAAAGATCGGTTCCGGACGCCCGAGATACAAATCCGAAAATAGTCCAACGTATTAATACATTTTTTATTCTAATTTCACGAAGTTGCAACATTCAGTGCCCGTTAGATCGAAAAATCAAACAATATTTCCGAAATAGTTTTTCGAAACAATATAAAAACAATTACGACGGCCTTGTTTCGAATTGGATGCTCTGTTTCCGTAAATTGTTCAATTATAGCCACCACAGTATTCCGTTTACAAGGGACGTTTCGAACTGACACGCGTCGATTTTGATCAAATTTATGGAGAATGTAGTTTTTGAAGAACAATGTATTTGACATGTTTTTTTTGTAATCGGCTGACATACACTTGAAAGGGTGAAGTTATGCTACGTTAAATAAAGAATTCAATTACACAAGAAGTGTTTCATCAAAAGCTACTTTTTCCATAAATTTCATAAAAATTCTTCTATTAGTTTTACAACCCAAAATCAATTTTAATTCTTACTGTAACATAAAATGTTCAATAAAATATAATTGACAACTTTTCAAGAGGTCATCGTATAAGAAACTTTAATCTTCAAATTCATGGTAGTTTCAGACGAATAAAAAATTTGTTAAACTCCTGGGGGTCGTTTTAATTCGAACCATTTTTAAAAATAAGATCTTCGCTAGTGTAGAAGTACCAAGAAAATTTAACTTAGGAGTGTGAAAGTAGAAAGTTCAACCCTTAAAAAATAATCCCAAAAAGACTATTGGACTTCTTTTCTTGGATAATAATCGAAGTTGATATAAGCACACGTGTCTAAGTTCGAGGAAAATAGATCTTCTTTTCGCATTAATAATCGCCATATCTTTTCGACAACAAGAATAGTCCTTTCGGGGAAGGTCGATAGTGCTTTGAACGAAGAGAAGGAACAAAGAGAACGAAGAAAAAGAGAACACGACGAGGGGGGGGGGGCACACGGTCTATGGGAAAATGTCGGGTCACTCTTATCGCCGTTTCCATACGCACGTAGGGAAAATGGTCGCCTTATCTGGCGTTTCCATGAATAATTTAGAGAGCTTCGCTGCTGAAAACTTCTCTGCAGGCCTGGTTCTATCGTTCCCGGCCTTTCTTTCCGCGTTACTCTTCGCGCTACGAAGCTATCGTCGGATGGAAAAGTAGTGGTCGCTGTAACGGAACGAAAAATCGGAAACAGCCCTTCCAAAAACCGTGCTGCTTTTCCCCCGAACGAGAGTTAAAACGTTACCTCGTTTCATCGTGTAATTGTCACCAGCTTCAGACAAAAAGATTAGAATTAATCTGTATAGGAAAACTTCTGGGACAAAGTTTCGTTTTCGTGAACAATTTGAGGGGTTTAGTCTTCTTTTCCGTGTGTTTTATTATTTAGAACGGTGAATATGTGCAGCTGAGACGTAGTATAAATCCATACTGTAACCAAATAAATTCCCAGTGCCCTTCGACGGGGGTTAAGGCAGATAGAACAAAAATTGGGGGTTGGGAGGGGGAAAGAAAAGACGAAGAAAGATCAGGGAGACGGTTCTTTAGAAAAATAGCCAGCCACCGGGGTCGAGGGTGATAGAAGGGGGAAGAAAACGTATTTTCCAGCATTGGAACCTGGCGCGTGCCAGGACATTTACGTAATTCGGTTCGAGTCGAAGGACGATAGCTGAATTCGATTCGCGACGAGCTCGAGAGAGATTGCAACGTGATTCGGCCGGGGGGTTGGAAGGCGAAATTAGCGTCAAGGATTAACGCGAGAGTTGCATCGAGTGCATTCACGGCGTAGGCCGGCCAATCGAGGAAAGTGGTCAGCGAAATGTGCAATTTGTCACGCGGGACATTTTTCGCCGGGACGCGGTCCGAATTTCAATTACCAAACTTTCTTCGCTGATTGGACGTACGTAATTTTGCCCAGAAACGACGGGATCCGCGCGTTTTAATGAAATACAATAACGATATTATTCGCGACGCTTCCCACTGTTTTTAACGACTTTACCTTCTCCATTTTGTCGAATTATGCGAGAAAGATTTCCAACACGTTCACTCGCAATTTTATTTTCTACCAGATTAAAACTTCGATTCTAGACAATTGTAAAGTACATTTCCTTATTATTATTATTTTAGAAAATATCTATTTTTTGCATATTAACAGATACTTAATATAATCAAGAATTGTAGTATGCATAAAGAAGAATTTAACGATAATATTAATGATCTTTGAATAACTTCAAATGAAACAATTTTGTTGGTTCAAAGGCAATTGAAAAATTCAACATTTTGCCCCTTCAATAAGTTATCAATTTATTTATTTATGTGTTGAAATTGCCTTCACACGAAACACGCGAACAAACAAAGAAGAGTACAATCGACGTATTAAACAAATACTCGGGAACCTTAATTCCGACGAATATTTTTGACTTTGTTCATAAATATCAATTTTCATATTTCCCGTGTCGCAGTGGAACGGGTAGAACAAATATAACGTTGCGAGAAAAGTCGTTTAAAATAAAACTCAAATACATATCGCGATACAAATTATTTTATCGTTGAATCGTGATTTTTGCAAAACAATACTCGCAATCACAATTCGACAGAAATTGTTTTCAGGAAAATCCATTAAAAAGTCTACTAAATTAAAAAAAATAACAAGAAGTAGAGGTTTTTTATGTGAATTTTACTCTCAAACATTGTTGAATATAACTTTTTCAAACTTTGGATTATTATTTACTTTTTTAAAAAGAAATTAAGAGAAATTAAAAACTTATAATTAACCAATTTATTAGGAGCATTCTTTTAAGATTTCAAGCTTTAAGGAAGTGTGAGAAAAGGGTAGAGTTTCTAAATTAGAATGGCTTCGATTAACTTAGGGGCGTTGAACAAAAGATCGTTTCATTTGATTGTTGCAAAGTTGGTACTCACCCTGCGTGAAGGAACATGTAGAATGCGAACCTCCAAAGTTCGAGACGTTTGTCCGGTCTGTAAATGAAGACACTATCGATTGGTACCGGCCCAGAAGGATTTACCTCTCCCATCGCTACTGTATAATATGTGAAGAAACCCAGCTGCAAAGAGAAATCAATCGAAATTATAGACAAACATATTCGCACAGAAAATGATCGAAGTTCGTTAATTGTTAATAATACGGTGTAAAAGAATCACAAACTTAGTAACTTTCGTACGACTGGTATGGATTTTCTTGTTATTGCTTACGAGATTCAGTCAGCTTTGATAATGATTTCTTTTTGGATCCTTTCTCCGAAATTTTTTGATAAAAAGTTTGATTACAAAATCACCGTTCGATCTATCGATCGTATTTTGCGCCCATCCGCAAAGCCAATTAGCCCTCGTTGACTGTATATCGAAATTTCGACAGCTCATTTAACCAGCTTAATTGAAATTGTGTTAGTCTTGTTAATCGGAGGCTAACAGACTATCGAAGCAAACGAAATTTCACGAAACAATCATTATCGGTAACGTTGAAAACATTTGTTATGAATATAGATCACTCATTGATTGTAATATTTTAATAAACAGTCTAGCAACTCAAAGCTACTCGTGTGTTTTCCCATAAGATAATTAAGAAATAGCATCATTTATGGCCAACGTTTCATTAGTATCCGTAATTACGTTTCTCTAGCTCGTGTTTCATCTTTCAATTAGGCTCTTTTTATGGCGAGAGTGCAGTCCTAAATCAACCGAAAGCCCTCTAATTCCGATACTCGAGAAGCGCGTGACTGTCGCGCGTTCCTTTGTGCTAATGGAACAGAGAAATTTGCGAGAACACACCTGAGAATGGAAACTGTGCTTCGGGTCGGGCAGCTGGAAAAGCCACGGAAAACGTCTTCGATTCGGTTTAAAAAAGGAAAAGCGCGGGGAACGAAAATGAACGACAATGGGAAGAGTCGGAAAAAAACGAGTCAAAGATAGACAAAGGATAGACGAATCAAACGACGGCGATAAAATAAAGAAAAAGCGCAAAAGGGATAAGGAACAAAGAAAATATCGAGTGACTGATAGAAAAAACAGGGGATGCAGAAAAATGTAGCAATTTAACGAAACGACGCATAAATACAGAGCAAGTAGCTTTCGTAAAAAGGAAAGAGAAAATAATAATAGTAGAGAAATGAAAGAAAAGTGGAACGTAATAAGGAAATAAAGGGAAAACTGGGAATGGACAAAAAACGAGGTTGTCGCGTGTCTGTTGTAGTTGCGTTCGGGAGACGCGACCGCTGGAAACACATAGAAATGCAAATGATTGCATCCAACTTAATATGCTAAAAAAAGGGAGAAAACTCGGGATCGGTCGTGGTTCGTGCTTCGTGCTTCGGCGAAAGAGCGAAAGACGATAAAAGAGGAAGCGAACCAATAAATTTCCTTTAAGCACGTGTCACTTGTACAGTAATACTCTTCGTTATATCTTCATGAGAGTATTATCAAAAAGTCGAGTAGATTCAGGTCAGCTAAATCACCTAATTAAATAATTAAATATAGAAATTCGGGATTACAATTCGATTGGTTTATTCGTCTATTTTTGGGAGCCGAACGTGAGATGAAAATGGTCTAATTAGTTTGTTTTCAAGTTTTCTTCTTGCAATGATTAGAGAACACAGCACAGATTTCGTGAACACTTTGACTGTCGTCAGGATCGAAATAGTAATTTACGAACGTTGACAATCGACTTATATAATTTGTTAAATAACCGTACGCGTAATAAGTCTGTGTGGAAAATAGTCCGGGTAAAAAATCCCGAGCGAAAGAAGGACGAGGGGGGGTTGAAGCACTGGTAGTAAAGAAAGAACAAAAAGGTTCCGCGAGAATATGAGTAGCGCCCCTTATTAAGGTCCATTAGCCAGTGTTTTGTATAATTGCTTCATTTTTCCCTGTCCCAAGGCAACCAACCCCTCTTAGGAGCATTTCAGAATTTCAGAATTGAACAGCGGTGGCCGCGCGACCAGATTCTAAAACGGCACACCGCTCGTAAAGCTCGTTCTTTTTTCTCTCGTGGGGGGGGGGAGGGTGAACAATGATGGTGTAACGACGCTGCAATGCGCTCTCGGATTATACCCGGTCCTTGTTCAGCCAGGACGCAGACGAGCGGTCGCGCGAGTATGCATACGCGTACGTGATTCTGCAAAAATGCAAGTCCTGGAGACTTGAACGCCATACTGCAGTCACTCCAGTTTTTCTGCAACACTGGCTGAATTATATTAAGCAAAGGGCAGCGAGGATCTCTCGTGCCTTAGCTACTCTCTGTATCCTTGCAAATACCTACCAGACACTGATAACACGGGATATCGGATGAAATACAATGTTATATCGCGGAACAAAACCCCATTATATTAATAGAACTATTCTGAAATTTCTCGAATAAGCCCGTTTCGGCGCAGGTAGCGTGTGCGTGGTTGAGTGAATATCAGAAGTGAAAGAAACGCAAGGAAAAATTCCATCGACGGAATGATATTCGCGTTCCCGTCGATTTCGACGATATATTTTGCCTCGATGCCTGGGATTTCTCCTTCGTCAGCGTGCATCGGGCGCGGATGTAGGGTGTTAGCAGGATTTATGCATTTATAGGATCGCGGTAGCGATGGATGCAGCTGAGGAGTATGGCGGTTCCCGGGATTCTCCCGATAATCGTCGCCGTGTAATCGCGTTTGCACTCGAACCAACGATTTATGATCGGTCACGTCACTGCCAAGCGAACACGTCTACCTTTGCCAGCTGATTAATGCGAGTAGACTCCGCCATGGAAGTAATATACAGATTCCTCTAAAGTGAGAATCATCGTACAGGATGACGAGCTGCTTCCTCGATCAACGTTTTATATTTCACTTTCATTTACATTGCTTCGATGACCGTTAGAGCTTTTTCAAAATTTTCATCATTAAAATCATATTAACCCCTTGACGTACGATTTTATTCCAAATCATTCTTCAAACGTGTACTATTTAATTTTCTCAAAGAATGGTCACATCTTATCTTTCGACTTCTTTGTTTCTACGAGCTTTGTTCGAGTCACGTCCTCGCTGATTCTCGGTCCAAACGCGCGAATGCAAAATTCAGATAACGAAAGGCGAATTACTAGCCACGCGCGCGAACCCTGAACGCTGAAACCTCCCAATTCATCTCATAGAGTGTGAATGTTATCGTCGCGGGCAAAAAGTCGCTTTCACAGTCGAGGATCCCGCGACATCTTTCTTGGTTCAGCTGCTTTTTGCGCCCCGGTCACCCCCGGAAACAGATGAAGTTCGATAATGCGAGAACTTTCGAAGCTGCTCGCGAATAACCAGAAAAACTCAGCTTTCGATCTGTTACTAAACTAACGACTCTTATTTATTTTATTTGCGTGGTAATTAAAGAATAAAGAAATTCTCAAGAAGATATATTAGTCCAAAGATCGCCAACGTTTCGATTAAGCGTTCTAATATTTTCAACGAGGAATAACGAAACATATCGATAAAGAACGTTGAAAGAGGCGAGCGCTGTTTTCGCATTTTTCCGCGAAAAACCTTTGAGCAATTTAAAACTGAAGAAACAGCGATCACGAGAGAAAATGAGATCGCTTGTTTGCGAATCCTACGCTTTCGTCGACATTATTCCCGTCGACAAACGACATTTTCCATCCTCGGGACAAATCGGAGATAATCAACGCAAGGTACCCGTCGACAAAGCGCAGAAACTCCCGAGACATCGCTCCCTTTTCTTCGAAAGCATTTTATTTCCGCGAGCAACGTCGCGCCCTCTTTTTCCACCCCGTCCAACCACCCTTAAAATTCAAGTTTTAGCCCTGGAAAATTGCAGAAGGAAACTCGAAAGCTATCGTCAAATGCGCAACGTAATATTGTTAGGTATGCAAATTAAACCATTCAAAGGCCCTGACGAACTTCCACGAGTTCTAGCTAGCTTTAAAAAAGGTGGGGTAATGGCAGGGTTGGGGGGGTGGTGATGCTAGATGGGGACGGAGAAGGCATGGAACAAAGTTTCATCCGGGTTTGAACGACAGTCGATTCGGAAGCTTTTGCCCGCGCTCGGGACGACTTCGAGGATTTTAAGTGCGCGTAAAAGCTTCAAGACAATACTACGTACTGTACTACGAAGAGTTCTTATCTGTTTTATGCCTTTAATATTAGCGATCGCAGTCATTTTATCGAAAGCGTATTTTATTACACAACTCCATCGAATCAGGCTATCTTTCCTCCCATATTTTTTTCTTCCTCCATTTTCAATTACAACCAACGCGTTGGATGGAAAACTGACTTCGAGAAAATCAATTTTTAATTCAATTTAACGAGAGACTAAATTTTTCAAACGAACGTTTTAAAAATTGGTTGAAATTTCTTAAAAATTGCAAAAAGCTTTCCATAACCATAATGGCGACTTCAAAGCGGGCAATGCCAGGCCGTGCTATTTTTTTTTTTCCATAAATTGAAGATATTCAAACGTATACATTCTGGTACTCGACTCCTATATCCACACACGAGGTTAGCAGAGAGTAATTGTGTTAACTGCAACTAGCTGCAGTACGTGTACAGTAACTCTTCGTTTAACACGTTAGCCGTGGCGACGAAACTCGTGATATTTTCTAAGGGATGAAAATTTTGTGCCCTGACAATCGAAAACTACGGATCGAAGCTCGTGAATTCTATTTAGATCTATTTTCTTTCGCAACTCGCCTTGAAAATTAATTCTTCGGGTCAAATTTATAAAAATTGCTCAATTCCTGCACTTTGTACTTCATTAAAAAGCATTTCAAACATTATAGAACGATATGAACAATAATCGTTTGCCTCTTTATCTTTTAATGAGAAAAATATCATTCGATGCGGAAAGAAAGAAGTTCCAACGTGTAATTAAAACGGTACACGTGGCGGGGACCGCCTTAACGATAACTGGCGGTCGCCATCTTTCAGCGTTAAGCCAGGAATTACCGTTCCATTAAATTACTAATTCATCGGAAAACATTTTATCGGAAAAGAGTAAAATCTGTTAGAGAAGAGTTCGGAACGAGTGGCGAGCGTAGTATTTAACGCGGCGCCGATGATTTATCGTGCCCTATCTGTTT